TATAATAATACCAACAATTTCTCTTGAGTTGAAGCTTTAAACTCTCACACAACAATATCCAACCAAAACCTTAACACTGACTCAGCTCCCATGTGAAAAATGTCACCGTGTCCTCTACACAGTTTCTAGCTGCAACAGTGGTTGAACTTAAATACTTGATCTTAAAAATATCTGCCTGAGTTCATTTGTAGGTGAGAATAGTCTAATTTGGTCTAGGTCACATCAAAATTTGCCAAAATTGAGCAGACCTGATCACCTTGCACTTGAACCAAATTACTTGGACTTTATTGATGCGAAGATGGAATTTAGGTAGGCATTTGTGGTCACAGTGAATTTGGGTCTCACCCAAAGAGGATCTGAGAATGATAATTATCCTTTCTCTTAAAAAAGGTAATTGAACCCATCAAATTTATAAAGCTATCAGGATTCATCTTGGAGAAACACATGTAAGTTCCCTGATGTGGATATTTGATCTCTGTTTCTGTGATAACCATTTTCTTTTCCCACCAAGGGTTCTCTTATCCAGTAAGCTAATGCAAGCTCAAATTATATAACAGCTTAATTATTCCATGACTCAATCTGATTTTTCATGTGATTAGCAGTATATGCAGTTGAGGGGGACATTCAGCAATGCATGTTTTTGAGGATACATTTTCTTTGTATATGTCTCAATCGTAGTCCACCTTCACTTTTTTGGGTAAATATCATATAACCCCCTCATATGTGCCTTCAGTTGCACCCACACTCTACTACTTACTTACTAGTACTTTGCATTCTTTGATTGTTACTTTTAGAAAGGCAAATTGCAAATAACACCCAGTTCTTCAGGAATTCAGGGGGGACTAAAGGCTAATAAATAAGTTGGACTGTGTTTAGTGCAATTGAAGTTATTAGATGAGAGAGATCAAGGATTCAGTCCCTCTCAGTTCCACTTGCTACTAATAACCTGGCAGCAAAAAGTGGAGTGAACCCGCTTCAAGATCTTGTCCGCTTCCTAACCAACAGTCACTTGCTTCCACCTCTAGCTGCCTTGATGTCACTTTTTATTGCACAAAAATATATGGACACTTACATCAAGTACTTACCAAAATGTTTGCATCCATTTCACGTTATCAACTGTTTTTACACTTAGATACTTTAAGTTGTAAAAAGTAGCATAAAAACACCTCAAGTTGTCCACGGTTAGAATTAGGCTAACCCGGTTAGTTTTGACGAAAATGCCCTCCATTAAAATATTAGTGATGAATTAAGGGATAGGTAAAGTGGTAATTAAAGCAATAAATAGGGGTCGTACAATAATAACATTCCTATATACTATGCACAAGGGAATAATCCTAGCAATATTATGTTATCTATTTAACATAAGGTAACAATGTACTACCTTTTAAAAACTTAAGGTATTTTTTTTTATGCTACTTTTTACAAGTTAAGGTAATTAAGTGTAAAAGTAGTGAAACATTAGGGTGTTTAAGTGCCATTTAGCCTATTTTGTAAGAGGAATGAAAAGTTTGAAATAAGTTATTACTTGAGTAAGAAAGTGAAAGGAGGATCACACTAATCATATTCATTTATATCTCCTTTCTATGCAAAGTAGATCGGTAAGAGACCAGTGTTTTTTTTAACTCCATTTATTTTAGTTTGTTTCTTTCTTTTTCAACTTTTTTAGACATTAAAAAATCTAAAAGTTTTTGAGGTTAATATTAGAAATTCATAATATAACCATAATTAGACTACAAATAATCTATGATTTAGTAAGCTCTTTTTTCCTGAGAGGATAAAAGAGAAAAGGGGCTTTTGGAAAAACCTTCATACCTAACATAATTCTTGCAAAACAAAGTTGTGAGGGCACTACCACTTGGTAATCTCTTTCTATCTCGAGAAAGAGAGAGAATCTTATGTAAACTTAAGTGGATAGGAGCTAATCATTCACCAAATTTTGTATCCATTGATGTTGCATTGGGATCCATAAAAAATATGAAGAGTCCTTTGAGATTTGTGCATCTCTTGATGGCACAAATCTAAAGACAAAATGAGTGGATAAATGTTTGGTGGACAATGTTTTGCTTTTCTGACAAGTAATTTCCTCAAAATCTCATAAGGACATCAATATCAATGACAATATAACAATAACATGGGGGAAATCACCAAAAGATAACCAAGAAATACTGTAACTAATGATTAGTTGTTATGCCATTCTTTTAGGGTGTTCCCTTCAATCATTTTCATACATATTTTTAGAACTTAAAATTCATACATGCAATTAAATAAACAGTAATCAGGAAGAAATAGCCTAAAACAGTAACTTTGAAAAACCAGCATCAGCATCAATTTTAACTGTTTTCACCCACCAGCCTCTCTCTCTTCCCCCCTCTCTCAGATTTTAACTGTTTTTCACCCACCAACCTCTCTCTCTCTCTCTCTCTCTCTCTCTCTCTCTCTCTCTCAGATTTTAACTGTTTTTCACCCAACAACCTCTCTCTATCTCTCTCTCTCCCCCTGGTGTTGCTGGGTAAAGACACTGTTCAAAGTGCAGATTATCATCAGTATCGAAGATGTGACCATGCTCTGTAGCTATTGTCTCCCAATTTCTAAGTTTTCATACGATCCTCTCTTTTTTATTTCATTAAAAAAACTGCCCCTGCCTCTGTCTCTCTCTTTAATTATTGTCCTATTAAATAATAGGATGAGATCAGAATCATAAGATCATGTGTCCCTATTCAAAATGATACCCCATCCATGTGTATGCTTGTCCTTTGCTCCCCCAACTTATCTTAAAATAACAAGCAAAAAGGGATCATAACCCCACCACTAATCAATAATATGATCTAAAACTATTAAATTTGTACTATTTCCATAATATAAAGATTCAAACATATAAGATACCTCTTCATGCATGAGTTATTGAATTACTACCAGAATACATGTACTTTACTTATAAAAAATATATTTATATTACAAATAACATTATTTTACATCGAACAACTTAAACAAAAGAGAAATGATTTAAATATTTTTAGTACTCATTTGATGGTTTTAAAAGAATTTGGGGGAAAAAATGGTAATTGAAAAATGTTTCTACTTGCTATTTCAAATATTCGAACAGTTATTCAAAGAGTACGATTAACAGTGCTGTAAGCAAAAACAACACCTACAATTGCTTCACAAAATAAATGAGAAAAATAAAAGCCATGGTGCTTTAAAGTACAAATGATGGATTGTGCTTTTGAATGCAATAATTACCAAATGGACTTGCTTCGCAAGATTATGACTTTATTTTGTGTCTGCTAGCTTCTCAATATCTAGAACTAGTTGTTTACTTATTTTTAATCAAGACCTTTAAGAGCTGCACAGAACTCCATGGTATGGATATATTTTATGGGCATACACTATCATTATTCTATTTGTACTGTAAAACATGCATCAGCTGTATGCAGATATATTATGTACCTAATCATGTAACCATAACTTGCATACACTTGTTCATTTGCACTGAGACTCTTGACAATAAACCTTGTCTGAATAACAAAAATCTCATATACTCCTAACCTGAGTTATAAATAACATGAACAAAGGAGGCTCAGACCCTTAGTAGTTGCATATGAAAATATATTTATAAAACCCTATTCATCTGAAAAAAGAAGCTAATCTTTTCGAAGTGAAGCAATGAATTCAAAAAAAAGACAAGGTTTAAGTTGCTTGCAGTGATGTTTTCTCCCAAAATTTAGCTGAAAATGTTGTTCAAATAAAACTATGGAGATAAATGAATATACAATGTTAACAAATCATCCAATGCATTAAATTACCATGTACTTCTCGAACCTAAAAACATTATCCACCTACTGCAGAAACTTTCACTAGATCATAAGAAAATCTAAAATCAAAACAGGCTCAAAGATGTGGTCACTCTCTACTGACCCACATTCAAAATTGTGAAAGCACTCACTCACACGCTCACATGAAAGTAAGAGCTTTGGAGAGGAGTAGCACTTTTACACTTTCCCCTATGAAAAAATTATCCAAAAAGACGAAGCAAGAACAGACTGTCATTTGACTGTACTAACAACCAACAAATAAATTAATAAAAATAAATAAAATTTCAGTTACAAATTGAAGATTTGAGGGTTTTTGGTTTTGGTTGCCACCAACCTATAGATTTTTTCCCCCCTATGAAAACAGGGTGGTAGTTATGGAGTCGCTCTCATTGTATATATTGGGAGGGTACACTCCATGCTTTAGCCCTTGCCCTCTCTTTTTCTTTGCCCAGCTTAGCAATCATGGGCATCAATAGAAATTTATGAGAGAATGATGCTTACTGCTCAAGGCCTCGACATCAGAAATTGAAAAGATCTTTCAACTAGTCAAGTACTGTTTCTTTGGTCTCTTATCTTTGTTACATCACCATATTTGTTTCTAATAACAGCAACGGATAAGCTCTTTTAATTCTTTCATTCATTAAAAGCCATTTAATATTCTTAGGCTTAAAAATAAAATCCTAAAATCATCTGGAAATTCCAATACAACTAGGACTCATGTATTAAACTACTCAGAACTCCTTGTCTGAGCCAAACAAACAACAGCCTTTTGGCCACTTTGGTATAAGCAAACAACCTTAAATTCCTCTAACCAATAGTTATAAGTTACTAGAGACACTTGACTCACTGGCAAAACTAAAAGTTATATCATGAAAGAACTTAGATTAAATAAAACAAAAGGAATAAACCCATTATTCTCTATATTATACCCAAAAACAAAAGCAAATGTACCACACAGGATGCATAGTCTAATAAAGTAAAGCAGAAATCCATCTTGCTTGGAAAAGTCGATAAGCTGAGCAAAGATGACCATTATCCAAAACCACAGTTTTGCCTCACCCTATATTCACTCCTTTCAACAGATTAATTAGAGGAGTGCAGCTGTAAATGAGAAGACAGACAGAATAACTTTGATGGCATCCAAAGACTTGAAAGATTGAAAAGAAACTTTATGCCTTTAGAAGAATGATAACCATATACTTATAAGTCATTTGAGTATGATGATCAACAAGAATTCTTTGGTAGTTGATGCCCACTGTTTTGTCTTGGGGCCTACCTGATTGAATACATGATATTGATGGACCCCTAAGTTGATACACTCAGTTCAGTGAAAGTAAATACTCAAATTTCTGGGGCCCAAGTAAGATACACCTAAGGCCCAAAACTCCCACTCAACATCTGTGATAAGTCGCTTGCAAAAACAGTTGATACAAGATAGCACTTTAAGCGCATGCACTTTGGGAAGAAGCAGTTGCAGGATTGTTTTCCTAAGCGATGACAGTCTAAAAGCAATTTGCTTGAATAAAAATGCATTTATCTCCACCAGAAAGTATCAAAATAAAATCACAGGAGCCAAACTGATGGAAAATGCCCAGATATTAATTTACTAGAAGTACTCGGAGTCACCTGGAAGGGTGTTAAAGCAAAATCTTTTCTTGAGTGGAATACTTGATCAAAGTCGAAATTGTTGATGATGTTACAGTCACCATCGTCATCATGACAATTCAGATCTCATGCTCTTACCTGTCGAACACTCTGTAAACTTTGCGCACATTTTCAGACGGTAAGGAACAAGAACGCACAAAATCATAACAAGATATATCACCTTTCTACAATATCAACACTGAAAGATCTCAAAAGTCAGAACAATCATCTGAACCAAAGGCCTCAAAACAACTTCAAATTTGTCAAACTAAGTACCGCTTGATTATTCTTGAGCGCAGAGTATTTGCATAAACACAGATAAAAATATAACCATGGCATGTCACAAAGTTTCGAATACTTCCATGCCGGGCACCTCCTGGCACTCACATCCTTGGAGACCCATGTCTCATGTCCATAAAACTCTAAAACTGGAACGTAGATTATAATGAGGAATAGGTAAAGTTATTTGGGATATAACATTATTCCATGAATAGTGGTAAAATGAAGGTATACTATATAGAAATTACTTGCTTCAAATGAGAATTAACCGCACATCTATTAAACAAGAAATTGAATAGCCATCTCTGTGAATTATGTGACAATGTGATAGTTCCA